ATTCAATTTTTTTGATACATAATTTTTATAAATTGACATTTAAATATTGGGTTCTAGATCTGAATTATAACCGTAAACTATTAATTCGATTGCTTTAGTATCCGGTTCAATTCAAATCGAACCGTGGTCATCCCTACATATACACAATAATTTGTTGGAGTAGTAAAATAAATAAAATGTTTACTTTAAGGGTATAAATGTCAATTTAATATATCAGGGGGAAAAAACACCACTTTTAGAATAATTGAGGGGGCTAATGTGCTTACCTAAATAATTGAGGGGAAAAAAGTGCTATAAGTATATAACTCAGGGGTAAAAGTGCCATTTTCCCTTATTATTATTTTTAAAGTAAGTTTTTATTTGCTACAGTGGTAAAAGATTTGGCGCAGATTCTTCTCCAAAGAAGGTGCTAAATCCTTCGCCAAAATAGGGTTTGTTTACAATATAATGCAGTGCCACATATATAGCAAAACTTGAGTTTAATTTCATATTTAGTTCAATGTATTACTTGAAGTCTTGAACTACTCAATTAAACTTGATCTCATTTTGGCAATGAAAGAATCAAACTCTAACATTTATATAATCAAAACTCAAGTAACTCGTGAATATTTTAACTCGATTATGCTCTTAATTGATGTTGAAGTCATTAAAATATAGGCGAATTAGTTTGTAGGCTCACCGCGCCGGAGTTAGTGTGAGAAATTAAAGCGGTGGATCGGAGTGTGAAAAGGAGGTGGCGTTGGATGGCGGCGGTAGGTGGTGGTTGGTTGGCTAAGGTGGCTGTGCATGTGATCTGAGCCACCATTCTAGGACTCACTACAGCCTGGCCCACTGCACTATCCGATGAATGTGGCGCAATTCGCGGCCTTCAACGTAACCAGTCCTGTTCCAACATGCCACACCACCTCATGCTTTAGCGTTTTACATTTCTTATAGATTAGCCTAATCATCATCATAATACATCATTACATGCTCATTTATTTATTTATCGGATAATCCAATTTTCTCAGTTTCGTGGTGTTTGCTAAATAATTATTTGTCGATAGCAGTTAGCTGATTGAGTTAGTAGATTTAACTAGTTGATAGCATTAGTTAAGTGTAAAGAGATGTTTAATAAATTAAATGTTAGTTGATAGTTGATTGCATACAAAATAATTTTCTAAAAAAATTAATCGAAAAAACTGATTTGAATAACTTTTTGAATTTTAATATTTTAGAGCAATAAATTATTAAAAAAAAAATCAAACACTTAATATTTAACCAAGTCAAACAGTTAATAATAATAAAATTAACTAAAATTAATTGATAAACTAAATATATTACTAAACATTATCATTATATTTTGGTCTACGCTCTGCATATAAAAAACCAACCCAAATCTAAATGCTCAATATTCAAAATCCAGCCATGTTTTTATATTATTTTTAAATTCCCTTTTTTTTCTCTGTTCGACATCACGTAGTCAAATTGCACCCCACAGTACCCTAATTTACAAAATCGGAATTAATTATTGCCATCAACTCATATATTATTATTATTATTATTATTATTATTATTATTATTATTATTATTATTATTATTCTTTAATATTTCAAACGAAATAAAATCTCATAAGGTGATGTTCTTTGTCAAAATATCTAGAATACAATCTACTTATCTGAGTCTAATATTGCTCTGTGGGTCTTCATAATATTCTAACATCGGCGTTTGGTTGGAACTTGGGTGGAGAAATTAGGAGAAAATGAATTCTAATTTTGTAGAAAAAGAATAAAATGATAATTTATCATGAAATTACAATTCCACAAAGTGTGGAATTGGGTTCCTAAAGGATACTTGAAAATTTCAGTTTCATGATTGTATGGAATCATAAATTGTAATTTCATGAAATTTGATAAGAAAGGGGTTCAGCCTTTTGGAAAAATAAAATTTGATAAGAAAGGAGTTACAATTTTATCTTACTAAATATCTTATAAGGGTGTAAACTAGTTTAAACGAACCAGATAAAATATAATACTCCATATATAATATTATACAAATTACATGATGATAAGTAGTGAGGTAGCTTTGTCACAATGCACCCACGCGGTTTAAGGCCATTCCAGACAGCTAGCTATTGCACCTATTCTACTTTAATGTCTGGCTCTAACAAAGAGAATGATCTTTTGCACCGACTAAATTGAATTATTTGAATACACACACTTTTAATTCTTAAACATTAAATTAAACAAAACTTTTCATACTATTATTGATCATGTTCAACTTATGTACGTACAAACTTAGCCAATCTTTCTGTCCTTGCACATGTGTATATAATATGACGATGCCTTAGTCGTCGTATATGTAACATGTGCAGTGGAATTAAACAAGTTCTGTGATGTTTACGCATAATAAGCACAACTAGCAACCACGAAAAATCTTTTAATTAATTTATTCGAGTTGAAAGTGGTACTTTTTAAAAGTAAAATAATTTCAATTTAATGTGTTATGAGTATTGAGTAAATTTGTCTATATAATGTAATAGTGTAAATTGTACGTCTAGGATGTATATGCTACAAAGTATTGTCATGCAGTGTATAGTTAAGAGATAATGAAGTAAAGTAATAATATTATGGATTATGGTAATGTTGTCAAGTACAATTCCATGTCATAAGTAAGTTCAGAATATTCGATCTAAAAATGTACTCATATCTTCCTTCAAGTAGGTGAAGTATAGTATTTATAGAGTTGGACCAGGAAACACATGGCGGAAATATACAAGCAGAACCCAAAGTCCCAACACAATTTCACATCAAGTTCATAAGAAATTGTGAAGTAATAGTTAATAAATTCGTACCATTTGATTTGTTATTTTTGCTTTTTACCCCGGCCCTCTTTAATCTTCTTTGGTGAACCTTTACTTTAGTTTTGATATTAAGGCAACTGGGTCTGCAAAGTGGAACCATATTAGAGGAGTTAAAGGGAGTGGTCCTTCTTCCATACCAAGCAGAAGCAGTGGCACTTGCTTTATTACAGACAACGCTTTCAGAAAGTGTTGTTCCCTGCCTTCTCCTCTTTTTCTTTAATTTTAATTTTGTTTTCCCCATGCACACAACACAACAATCATTATATTGTCACGCATTAGTCATTACGCTTCCCCACTCAACTCTGCATCTGCCTCTTTTGTTTTTACCTTGATTGCTCATCACCAATTATTATTCCCTTTTCTTTTTTTAATCACAACTCACAAAGGATGATTGCAGCAGTGAAATGAAAAAGACAACTCTGTTAATCGATCGATTAGACAAGAATTTTTCTTTTAGTGTGCCATACCCAATATCACTTTTTTTATATAAAAAAGGAAAATATCACCACTCTGAAAAAACAGTCATAATACGGAGTAATAATAATAAATAAATAAATAATTTTAAATGTAATAAACATAATTCCATGAGTAAGAATAAAGAAATAGACTACATCACAACAAATTAGAGCATTATATAAGTTAGTGTCACTCCAAATGAAAATAACTCCCTCAGATTAAAAAGGGAAAATGACACTTTTTCCCCTGAGTTATATACTTATAGCATTTTTTCCCCCTCAATTATTCAAGTGGCTGTTTTTTCCCCCTAAAATGTTAAATGGACATATTTACCCTTAAAATAAATATTTTATTTATTTTTCTTCTCCAACAAATTATGACCATAATTTGGTTCAAACCAAATAAACACTATAGCAACCAAACCGAAATATTCCAATTACAATTTAGAATCGAAACTCGATATTTAGAGTTTATTAAAATCCCGGAACGGACGGTTCATGTTCCAAATTGAAAAAATAAAATACATTTATTGTTGAATTTAGACTATTTTTAAAATAAAAACGGTTCAAAATCGCGAATCGGATCCGGAACCGCCAGTTCACGGTTCAGGATCCAATTTTTTTGATTCATAATTTTAATAAATTGAAATTCAAATATTGAGTTCTAGATCTGAATCATAACCGAAAACTTTTAATTCGATTGCTATAGTGTCCGATTCAGTTCGAACCGAATCGTAGTCATCCCTACGTATACGCAATAATTTGTTGGAGAAGTAAAATAAATAAAATGTTTATTTTAAGGGTATAAATGTCAATTTAATATATTAGGGGGAAAAACAACCACTCTTAGAATAATTGAAGGGACTAATGTGCTTACCTAAATAATTGAAAGGAAAAAAGTGCTATAAGTATATAACTTAGAGGGAAAAAGTGTTATTTTCCCGATTAAAAAATAAAAATTGATCTCAACCATCCATCAAAAATTATCAAATTATTGAAAATTCTAATTTAAAAAATACAAAGTCAATTGTATAAATATTACAAAATAAAAAATTTATAATACCCATCTTTTCCCTTTGTATTTTTCAATAATGTTCAACCATTGGTCTACTCAAATGAATGAATCAAATCAATCCACACTAATCACTTGAAAGCCTATTCTCATCTTAATCTTCTCCCATATATGCATATGTATATATATAAAATAAAACATCAAAAGTTTTAATGAGTAGCCTACATATGAAATAAAACATCAAAAGTTTTAATGAGTAGCCTACATCTCAATTTCAGCTATAAACCATAGCTCAAGACCTTGTGGTCTTGCCATACTAAATTTTTTGTTTGGTTACCCAAGGTATCTCTCCAGCCAAAAGTCAGAAGACTAATCCTCCGTCCCAACGGTTAGCACACTAAATAGTAGGAGACAGGCCAAATGGTTTGCTCCATTCACATAGGTGGGGATTGAACCCCCAACCTCATGCTTAAAGGACAAAGTGTTGAACGACCTTAAGACATCACAAGTTAGACTCCCAACCTCCCGGGAAAAAATAAAATAACAAAACTCCAGAACTATTAACAAGGCGTGCACTACATTGCAATTTTATCAATAAATAGGCACGTAGGAATGCTGGAAAGCACAAAGTACCAAATTGTGCCAAACTCTTTGTTGGGGGTGGGGGGTTACTCTCTCTATTCACCTCAGGGGTTCACAAGTATTGACATCAGATAAGTGATCACTTAGATTTTGCAGCAAAATATAACTAACGAATCTCAATGGCATACATATTACATATCACAAACTAAGCAAACCAAATCCGCAATGCATGAGTTTAAATCATTTCAGCATTAAATGCTCCCATCATGCTCCGAATATAGTTTTTTGAACAGAGCAGAAGATTGGAAGTAGCTTCATTCACAAAGGATGCGGTTAGTGACCATACTTCTGGAACTCCCACTCGCTATTGTCTGAAGGATGCAACATTGTAAAAGAAGAGTTAGGGGGGAATAAACAACTGCATGCTCTGCCAAAATTGAGATGACACGAGTAAATGCTTACCCAAGGGGCACACTTGACGAGTTTTGAGCCATCGGCTGATGCAGTGGAAATGAAATGCATGGTTGCAAACTCCTATAAACAATTACCCTTGATTAAAAAAATGTGCACAAAATCCAATGCTAGGCATCCACATTAAAAACACCAGTTGCAGCCAACAAACAATGGCCAGTTATAAATAGATATAGTCAACTACAACTCAAGGCAATTACAGCATAGAACAAAACTTTAAAATTCATAGAGAAAGAAACACTTGTTCATTTCAACCTCATGCAACTATGCAAGGTTGAACTAAATACTCCGGAAACAGTAGATTAATAAACACAGTAGTGTAAATTGTGGGATACTGGGAATATAATTTCTTAGAAATTAAGACATCCCAAAAATAACTACACAAGGTAATTCAAGATCAGGCTATCACATATTTTGTATCATAAAATCAATTCTTTGAGGATAGCATATCATAGTATATATCCTTTGAATATCAGAATGTCAATTGAAGTGATCATAAAATGGAAACTGAATTAGCCACATTAGCAAGAAAAATTAATGTAAGACTAAAAATACACATGATTCAGTTTAATGCTCAGAAACAACTACTATGGGAATTACAATTCTATCTTCCAAAGAAAAATTAGATAACCAGTAATAGTGCAAGGAAATAAAATTGAACTTGAATAGAGCCTATATGCATTTCATTTTGGAAGAGTGAAGCAATCATTTGCACATAAAGGAAGCTAATGTACAAGGTCAAATCTGAAGATGTAAAGAAATATGAGAATCATATGCAGCACAACATAAAATAAAATATTAGTGATCATACTGATGATCAAAGCCAGATCATGTATTCCATACCCAAACTAAGTTCAGAAAAATCCATAGAAACATAATTGCCAATTCAGATTATGTAAACAAGAGGAAAGGGGTAAGTACAAATACATTACAGCAAAAACAAACTACATACCCCAAGCAACCGTGCATTCCTCACTTGTTGCACTAGCTTGATTAGCTTGACACTCAATACCTAATTAAGAAACACAAGAAAAGCAAGCCCCATATATATTGAAAAAGAAAGTTCAAGTTAAACATGATCAACTAACAAAACATTTTCATTAGTGAAGAAAGAGAAAAGACAATTGAAACTTACAGAGATCCATAATGTGGTTCCTACAAATTGCACAATTATCCACCACAATATCTGCAATGATAGATCACCAAAGTCAAATTATCAAAACACATAATGAATAAAGCTTTAGCTTATATGAATATACACATGGCAAGTTATGTATACACACATTTTCTTAGTAAAAACCTTTTGCATCATTAGGGCAAATAATACATCATTATCGTCTCTTCATTAATATGCTAGTCTTAATTAAATTCAACTAGCAAAATTAAACAATAAACCTTTCATATAGCTGGGATAAAAACACAAAAATCATTGTTATTTTCCTTCACTAATATGCTAACACTTCATTCAATTGTGTTTGAAGGATGGATCACCCGTATACATTATAAAGAGAGAGCAAGGTTATAGACCTATTGCCACCACCAAAATCATATTGGAAATATTTGTTGAAGAATAACCAAATAAACAAACAAACAAAAATAATTACAAGCAGCTAGGTTTTAATTATTCACAAGAAGTTTCAGGATTTAATTCGCCATTATATACATATTTTGTTCAACTATAAAGATCAATAAGCAAAAAAACCTCAATCATGTACACATATACGGATCCATACAATCAATGATGCAAAAATATTCATAAACACAGCAACATCAGGGTTTTAGAAACTGTAACCGATACATAAGGCGAACTACGGTAAGATGCATACCCCAGGCCCAAAGAGCAACGGCGTTCCACTTTTTGATCTCGAATTTCTTCCCTTTCTTGGCCGAAGAGGAAGTCGACGCCACGGAAGACGTCGCTCCGGCGCCGCCCTCGCCCTCGCCGGCCGGAACCATAGTCACATCGGTGTCCAAGGATGCCATCTAATCAAAGCTAGGTTTCGGTTCCGATGATTCAATTGCTCTCGAGACTTGGAACTGTTCTTCTGATATTGTATATAGAAGAAATTCAGCTTTCCCAATCGATGTAGAATGGAGTACAGTGTATATGGGCCTTTACTATGTGTCATAGTGTCGACATTATCAGAATATTGGGCCTTGGCATTCGGCCCAAATAGACCCTAGTTATTATGCTGTGCATCCGTACATGGTGCATACGGATGCAAAACGACGTCGTTTTATTAAATACGCGCGTCTCCCCTTAAAAAAAAAAAATCAGGTTCGATTCCCAGCAACAACATATGAATTAAAAATTCAGAATTGATGAACTATAATTCTATAATCGATGAACTATAATTCCAGAATCTATAAACTAAAATTCCGGAATCTAATCTATGAACTAAAAATTTCAGAATGAATAAATTAAAATTCCAGATTCTATGAACTAAAATTTCAGAATCGATGAACTACAATTCCAGAATTAATGAACTATAATTCCAGAATCAATGAACTAAAATTTCATAATCTATGAACTAAAATTTTAGAATGAATGAACAACATAATGCTGCTGCTGGGAATCGAACCTGAATTTTTTTTTTAAAGAGAGACACACATTTTTAATAAAACGATGTCGTTTTTGTATCCGTATGCACGCATGGTGCATACGGATGCACAGCATAACTATCCGCAATTTACGTATATGGCCTTTGTAAATTGTAACAATTAAAGAAATTTTTTTAAAAATTACTATAAAAATATTAGGTAATACAATCGCAAATTATTCGGTAGATCCGGATTCAAATATTCATAATTTACTTTTTAAAAATTCATAATATGTATACAACACACAATGTTAACACATATGTAATTAATTACTTTTTTTTTTGTATTCACAAATTCTTTTCAAATATTGTAATCACACAATACTAACAAATTGAAGATTGAAAATCTTGTATTGTGTTCACAAATTCTCTTCTACAGCTGTTATGTGTTTTGACTTAGAAACACACTTTAAATTCTAGAAATTCACAATTCCAATACTAAAAATATACTCCATCCGTCCCATTTTAGGTGTCTAGTTCGGTTAACGAGGTTTGACTGAAATTATTTTTAATCTAAGTTTTCATAATATTATGTTTAGTATTAATATACAAAATTTATATATCTAAAAACAATTCTAAAAGTACTATTAAACACAAAAAAATTAAATTTAAAAATAAATAAAAAATACTAATGAAAATAAACAAAGAAGAAAGAGTTGATTTGACCAATAAATAGTAAGTAAGACAGATAAAATGGGACAAAAAGAATACAATTTATACGTCATTTAGGACCAAGGTCCACCTTGTAAGGTGGACCCTGGTCCATAGTATAACAACTCTAATACAATAGATCATGTAAAATTATTTGGTTTTCAAAAAAAAATGTAAAATTATTTGAAAATTAAGCATGACTCTAATTTTCAATCTAATTACAAAATAAGCTCTATTTCAATTAAGTTTAAACTGATAGATAAATGACATATTTATATTTTATAAATTATAGGCTTAACAAAGACAAAAAGAAAAATAATAAAAAATAAAAATAACAAAGAATATGAACAAAATAAAATTATATATATATATATATATATATATATATATATATATATATATACTAGTTTTTTACGCGCATTGCGCGATTGGGATAATGCCCAATGTTTTTCTTAAATAAGTATTTTAAAGTATATCAAGACAATATTATATTGAAATTGTTCATGCATAGATAATTAAATGTTGAACTTGCGTATTTAAATTGGTAATTCTAAGTTTACAAATGCAAGATAATATAGTCAAGATTGATTATAATTGTCAATAAAATAATTGTATGGGTATGGTTGAAATCAAATACGGGATATAAGGGAGAGCAAATAAAATTAAAGCATAAAATATTAAATATATACTAATATTGTTTGAGGAGATTCCGGCAGTAAGAGCGTTATGCTTTGAGCACGCAAGGTGGGCACGGTTCCATATCCATAATTTCTGTACTGTAAATTCATAATTTCTATATTGTAGATCTATCATTTCTATAATTTACATTCATAATTTTTAAACCATAGATTTATAATTTAAATACAGTAAATTCATAATTTCTATACCGTAGATTCATAATTTCTATACTGCAGATTCATAATATCTGTACTGTAGATTCATAATTTCTGTACTGTAAATTCATATTTTCTAAACTGTATAGTTATCAACTATGAACATATAGTTCTCTGATTTGTGAAAACAGAGTTCAACAATTGGAATCTAAAGTATAAAATTAGTCATTATGTAGTTCTCACTTCAATTTGTTGTGTGATTTGAAATCTCTCTTTGTCAACAAATCCCTCAAGTAGTTAATATGATTGGCTTTATTAATTATGTTTTTTTAATTTTTAATTTTTTCATGGTATTAATAAAGTACTTTGGTAAATAAATATATAGCATTATTTTGTATTATAACTTTGAATTAAAAAATAGTGCACAAAAAAGATAATAGACAATGTAGTGAATATAATTAATTGATTAATTTGAATGTAAAGAATTTTTACATTGAAGAAAAATAAAGACAATATAACTAATGAAATTATTTCTCTTATTTAATTTATTGATAATGAATAATTTTTTTTTGAATAATGACATTGTACACACATAATTCTAAATAAAAGAAATGCATATGTATTATTATTATTTTTTTGTAGCTACTAAATTATTAATTATTAATTATTAATTTAATAAGAGTAAAATAGAGTACTAATTATGCCAACTTTAATTTGATTGGGATGAGGTTCGAACCTAAGATCTTTCTTATTAAAATCAATGAGTAAGTTAATAATGAACTAACAGAAACTAACGGAAAATATAATATTTAACGGAAAAGTTAACGGATAACCATATTCATTAAGGATAAATTAGGAAATGTCAAGGAAAAATTAAAATCTGATCAATCTGAGCCATTCATTTGATTAAAAAATTTGACCGCCATTTTTTCTACCCATTATAGTCCTAACTCTCTTGGGCTCTTATTAGTATAGTAGATATATATATATATATATATATATATATATATATATATATATAAAAGAAGATAACAAGAATTGACATGTAAATCACAATTTTAGCACCTAAACTTTTAGAGAAGTTATGCATTTTTTCTAACATTACGATGTTGTTAAAAACTCTAAAAGCTAAACATGCTAACTTATTAAAAGTTTAACTACTAAAGTTAGTATAGTAACTGTTGAACATATATATAAATACAAATGTGTAGTCTAACTATATGTTTGGATTTTTAGTTGACACAAATTATATTCTTTAATTTAGTACTAGAGCAATAGTAAATCGACACGCACACGTAATAACTCATGTTAAACATATAATATGTAAACATATATGTGTGTAGTTGAATTATTAATTTAGACTTTTTAAGTGTAATGTGGTACATCTTTGTAACAATTAAATGATTAATTTAAATTTTTTTTCTTTTATCTTTTTTTTTTTTTTCCCATTTTAAAGAAAGCAGTCACAATAAGAATGATTGTGATTTCAAATTCTAGAACATATGAAATTATGAACCAAAAAAGAACTTATGAACCAAACAATACCTAAATGAAAAAGACACTTTCAGGAGATGGTTCAATAGTCAAACATATGGGAAATATCTTCCAATCAAATAATTGTTAGTGATAGTGTACCAAATTCTCGCAGATAAATTTAGAAAACGTTATTTTCTTTAATGTTATCTATCATTCACCTCCTAATTGGCAGGTAAACAAACTATTTTTTATTTATTTATCAATTATTTGTAAATTAGTGATTTCATCATATATTTTTTTTTGACATTGTAGTATCTGTTCGAACATACTAAGTCAACAACGCCTCCACTGAAGCTCAATCTCAATCTCATGAGTCATGACCTCCCACACATGAGAGATCACTACATACCATCTGAGCACAAAGTGTTTGGCATCATATGAAAATAAAATTATTTAGTAATTAAATGCAAAAAGAATTAATCAAATACGGATTTACAGAGTATTATAAAATAAATTTAATAGGAAAATATAGCATCGCTCATGAATTTATCACTGAAGGAGTCACCACTCTTTTGTTGGATGGTAAAAAACTTTTGAAAAATGCATAGCAAATTAAGGTATCACATATGTTAAGGGAAGTGAACAAATAATAATAATCCCTTTTTAAAAAATTATCATTTTTAAACACTTGTTATCTGACTATATATATACCAATTCCAGTGGAATGATCTAAACTTGGGCAAAGATGATGTTTGGAGAAACGAAGTTGCCAAACGACTACTTAGCTTATTCCACAACTGTTTATTCTAACAATTTATCCAATACGTATGGACCATATAAATACATACAAAATACGGAGTATATATATTTTATATGAGCCTTGACTCCATGAATGGCACCTTAAAACTAGGGATTTGTTATATCTTAGGAAACAACATGGATGCTTCCTCACAAACATCCTTATCATCATCGTCGTCGTCAATTTATGAAGTCAAGTCTTTGGATAGATGCTAGCATGATTTAGTCACCCCTCACCAACACCATATTTGGTCGGACTATATCATTTTGGTTTCAGACTGCCTAGCTGTATTTCATATCTTATACTTTGTTTTTAGTTTGTTTATTCCTTTTGTTATATATATATATATTTTCTCTAGAAGAATGCTCAAATGTCAGAATGCATTTATTTTAATAGAAAAATCGCATTTTTTGTGTTCTCATTATTAATTTTTAAAAATTCAGTCCCTAAACTGTTCTAAATGTTATCAATTTAAACTCTTAAATAGTTTAAACTTTCGTTCATTTTAGGAGTTTGCTTGAATTTGTTTTAGAATTTCAAACGTAGCTGTATGAAAATTTAGAAAAAATGACGTTTTAAGTGGTTATTTTGAAGTAATATTTTAAAGAGTTAATATTCAAAGTGGTCCTCCGACTATTAGCTAATATTATATTTAGTCCTAAAGTATTAAACGTACTCATTTTAGTCCTTTAACTTTTAATGGCAATTGTAACCGAGGACCATATTATGTGTG